TGTGTCTCCATCTAGCGTGCAATGGCACTATTGCGATATCATATTATACTGTTGAATCGATGTTATAGAAACTAATACATAACGTGTGCCTCCATCTATCGTCTAGTAGTATTCAACGTTTACCTATGCTGTACTATTGAATCAACTTTATAGCGACGTGTACATTCCGTTTGGCTCTGTCTAGCGTGTAGTAGTCAACGTATACCTGTGCTACTTAACATATTTTTTGAAGCTGTGGATAAATTAAATACAGATCTAGAAAGTATTTCGCTGTGGTCCTATCGTTTTGGAATTTTAGTACACCCCATTAAATGTCAGGCAATTATTATTGGTAGCTCTAAATTATTGTCTAAAAATAAATGTGTCCCATTTGTCTCTGCGTTTTGAGAACAGCGTCATTCCATTCTGCCCCAAAGTCAAAGACCTAGGTCCGTTAATCGACCCATCACTTAAATGGCATTTTCAAGTGGCTGCAATGTGTCGTAAGATTACTAACATTCTACGTGCTCTTTATCGTTTTAATTTTTTTTTTTTTTTTTTTTTTTAATCCTCCAGGAATAAAATCCCTGTAGACCTACGCAGAGCACTTAATAAGCATATTTTTAAAAAAAGTCTTTTTAATACCTTGTTGAGTCAACAAAAAAAAAAAAAAAAAAAAAAAAAAAAAAAAAAAAAAAAAAAAAAAAAAAACTGCTCTAGTTACTGGTTACTCAATAGTTACATTTCATATATGTATGTATGAATGTGTATATATTTCATATATATATTAGTATAACTACTTAATTTATTATTAATATAAGTAGTATTTGTGTTATATGTGTATTTCTTATGTATTATTATTTCAGTATGTTGCTATATTTATATCATATATTTTTCACCACATTTGTCCTTCATACGCTTTGTTTTCACCTAATATGGTTAGCTGGTAGAGTATGCCATATGGCATTAAGCTCGCCACTTGTACAAAGTTTTATTGTGCAATAAAGAATAAAATAAATAAATAAATAAATACGCCATATACTTGATCCAAAGTATGGCTAGGAGATGCCAAGCTATTATCGACACCAATAGTGACTGGACGTGTTACTAATATTATTGCATCTTTGCTTGGATCAATGACAATAACTATATGTATTTTTAATTTAAATTTTTTTTTTTTTTTTTTTTTTTTTTTTTTTTTTTTTTTTTTTTTTTTTTTTTTATTAAGCCGACAATGCTCATAGCAGGGGAAGGGAGGAAATCAGAAGGTAGGGTGACAATAAAAGATTTATTTATATATTTTTTCTTAATAATAATCATTATTATACTATAGATGTACAACTTACATTTAAGGCTTAGCGTAGAGCGTCAGTAGTGACGGATAATACATTAATAATAGTTTATAATAGAACAATCACACTCATGTACAGAGCCGCGAGCAGCGAGATCGCACACATTATCATCGATACCATTACAATTTGTTACTACATGTCGCAAATTGTTACATTCAATACATTTTTATTATTTAAAAGTACTGAAAGGGAAAAGGGAATAACAATGTGAAATTTAAGGGCAGTCTTTATCACCAACGTTCAATATTTAATCATTATAATCTTTCAGTCTATGTATACCAGGTTTGCTAATATTTTGTATTTTACATCACCTCTAGTTATCAAGTTTGCGAATATTTTGTATTTTACATTACAGTTGGAAACAAACAGAGTCAGTCAAAATTACCAGTCCTGCATGATGACAAATGATACAAAAAAAAAAAAAAAAAAAAAAAAAAAAAAAAAAAAAAAAAAAAAAAAAAAAAAAACTAATTGTAATTTGAATATGATTAACTGTACAGTGCGTTTGAAGTACAGATAGGAATGATCATTACAAGCAGGTGGTTAACGTGTTGAAACTAAGGTTGTGAGGTCCGACTGCCATCGTACGTGTCTGCAGCGACGACATTTATAACAATACATGACTGTCTCTCCTTCGATTGCTGCGAGCGAATCGAGCGGGTCACGACACGATAAAAATCGAACGGTTAAACAATACATTCAATTTTGTTGAAACTGTGCCGCCGTGTAGTTTATGTTAGTGGCGGGGCGACCGTGCGGAGGCCGCCACTAGCCCGAGAGGTCGCCGTGGTCGAAGAGGTCCTGGTCGTAGAGCGCGGCGCGGACGGTGCGGCCGCCGAAGTAGCGGCCGTGCAGCGCCGCCGCCGCCGCGCCCGCCTCCTCGGGCTCGGCGAACTGCACGAAGATCTTGACGGCGGCGTGCGCGGGGTCGTCGTCCTCGCTCTGCCGCTCGTTGTAGATGACGAGGCGCTCGACGCGGCCCCACTTGGAGCACTCCTCCTGGATCTCGTGGTGCAGCGCGTCGTCCACCTCGTCCGCCGACACCATGTTGCACAGCAGCAGCGTGCGCGAGGCGCGGCGCCGCATCAGCCGCTGCATGACCAGGTGGCGCGCCGACTGGCCCGAGATGGACAGCGACTCCTGCTGCTGCAGCGTGTCCGGCGACGACTCCAGCAGCTTGCGCTGCAGCGCCGCCTGCGCGCCCGCCGCGCCGGCCGCGGCCGCCGCAGCCGCCGCGCCGGCCGCGGCCACCTCCTCCGCGCCGCCGCCCGGCGCCGGCGGGATCACCACGCCCGGCGGCGGGATGGCGGCCGGCGGCGGCGCGGCCGGCAGCGGCGGCGCGCCCGCCAGCGTCACGGGCAGCGTGCCCGGCAGCGACACGGGCAGCGTCACGGGCAGCGCGGCGGGCAAGGCGGCGGGCAGCGCGGCGGGCAGCCCGACGGGCAGCGCGGCGGGCAGCGCGGTGGGCAGCGCGGCGGCCAGCGACGGCAGCGCGGCGGCGGGCGACACGCCCAGCGCGTTGAGCTTCGTGAGCCCGAGCGCGACCGCATTACTCGCCACTGCATCCATAGCCTGCGCCCACAAATGCAAACTAATTAAACATCGGCATTTTTTTTTTTTTAATCAATTTCACTAATAAGCAAATCATGGATTGTGATGGTGAGAATATCCTCTTCCATAAGACTGACTTCTATATAAAATATATATACAGTAGTGGTCATATAATTAGAAACACTTCGTATGAATAAAGAAAGTATAACTTAAATGTAAAAAAAAAAAAAAAAAAAAAAAAAAAAAAAAAAAAAAAAAAAGCCTTAAAATTAGAAACATAATATAAGGCGTAGCCAAGGCACACATACGTTACTCCATCAATACCTAGTTGTGGCCAAGGCTTGTTTAGTACTTTTCTCAAACAATGCGCGGAAATCAAAAACAAACACAATTTTACTTTTAAGGTCAATGACCAATAACGAACAATAATAATTTTTCAAGTGCCATAATGTTCCTTTGTTTTTTTTTTTTTCCAATAAATAGCTTTCTATTTGCAAGCCAGTTCGAAATTTAAATAAAACCTTTTATTAGTTACCTCCTTGGTAGCCATGTTTCGAAGTAAAAGGTCATTCCATTTTTAAATTACAGGACACATATGAGTTTTTACACAGTAATTTATCTGGCCGCAAAACACGACAGATATGAATTTTCATACAACATTTGCCGGCCGCTGCCCGCATGTATCTGGACAGTACGGCAATTTTTATTTATCTCGAAGAATATTTTCAAAATAATGCTCACATTTCCAAGCATGTTTGAGAAAAAAAAAAAAAAAAAAAAAAAAAAAAAAAAAAAATATTATTTTCAGATGGAACAAAAATAAATATGGTAAATTCCGATTGGCGCTATGTAAACAATGCTTTAAATTACGAGTATAAATGCACAAGGAGTATAGTCAAGCACAGTGGGGGTAACATTAATTTGGGGGTGTTTTTCCGGATGTGGAGTTGGACCTGTTCGGAAGATTGAAGGTACAATGGATTAATGGATAACCTGGATAAACCCTAAACACACGGCCAATAGCGTCAAATGTTTCCTTAGCGAAGAACAGCGTATATCCGTTTTAGACTAGCAAGCTGTTAGTTTGGATTTAAATCCGATAGAAAATCTGTGGTGTATTGTTAAAGTGTCAAACAAACGTAACACCAGTCAAAACAAATTATATGAAACATTTGTTGAAGCATGGAATTCAATTCCCCTAGAAACATGTATGAAATTGATTGAGTCAATGCCACGACGTTGCAGTGCTATTATTGAAAATAAGGGATACGCCACTAAATATTAATTATAACTATTGGTAGGCTGTGGATAGGAGCTATTTGGTAAATAACAATACTAATTACTACTCTTCATACTCTTTTGTTGTTGTTGTTTCTACTTAGTTGACCATTATTGTTCATACCTTAAAACTGATTCAAATGTTTGTCCGTAATGTAATATTGAAACAGCACTTTTGTAGTGGGATTCATATTGTTTTTTTAATAAGTGATAAATCGTCGAACACATTGTTATCCTATTTATTGTTTACTTTAAAATATATATATATATATATATATATATATATGTTTGAATGTCAAGAACTGTCGGTAGTGTTTCTAATTATAGGACCAACACCGTATATATCAAAGAGTAAAAGTTACTTATTCCTTATCCGTTCCTGTAGAACGACATTTGTATTGAACGTGAACAAAGGGTGAATGAGTTATGTTTGTGTGTTTGTGTGATGCAGTGTGGCGTGGCGTGGCGTGGCGTGGCGTGGCGTGGCGTGGCGTGGCGTGGCGTGGCGTGGCGTGGCGCACCTGTATCTTGGCGGTGGCGGCGGAGGCGGCGACGGCGGCGGCGGTGGGCATGGCGGAGGCCAGCGGCGGGCCGGCCAGCGCGTTGGGCGGCGTGATGGCGCGGCCCACGCGCAGGTACTGGCCGCCGAGGTCGAACAGGTTCATGGACGCGATGGCCTCCAGCGCCGCCGCCAGCGTCGCGTACTCGATGAACCCGTAGCCCTTGTGCTTGTGCGCCGACGCGCCGTACGCCAGCTTGCAGTACGTGATGGGCCCGAACGCCTCGAACACGCTGAACACGCCGCGGACGAGGCACCGGGTTAATTAACACCACATACATACACATTCATGAAGCGGAACCATGTTCCCACTATCTATGACATTGGCAATATGCTTATTTGCTACTCGCTACTTCCTAAGAGTGAACATCGAATGTAGGAAAACCAATGAAATAGACCACTTGTACGTGTCAAAATAAAACATATAGTACAGTTTAAATTAAAATGTTAAGAACACTACTGTGAAAACCGTACCAATTTGGTATAGTGGTTTTTGCGAAGTAAACATACAGACAAACAAATTTGTTTTATACACAATGAAGTTACAAGTGGGGGGTTGTGCGCGCCTGGCTGCTAATAAAAATGTACATAAGTACAAAAAGTAGTTACTTCTTAATGTCGTCCTCGGTCAGCTCCGGATGTATCGACGCGACGTAGATGCGGTTGTACTGCTTAGCCTCCTCCTGTATTTCGTCAATGACTGCTTGTGCCTGAGGCATGTTGGACGGCCGACCCACTACTTTAATATTTCTGTAAAAGACAGTGCATTAATATCGCGACCTACATAGAAATATCTAGTATTACTCGTGTACACTGTATAATTATCGTACCTTCCTCCGAGCATGACGCCGTTCATCTGCTCGAGGCTGAGCTGCGCCGCCTCCGGGATCTCGTACTCGACGAAAGCGAATCCCTTGTGCTTCTGGGTCACCGGGTCCCAGGACATGTTGATGGACTTGATAGGTCCGAATGGGAGGAAAGCCTGCCGGATCGTATCCTCCTTCAGTTCAAATGATATTGAGCCTACGTACACCCTGTCGACACACATACAAACAGATTAGTATGCCATATATTGAATTACAGTATGTTATAGGAAAGAATAATGAAATAATATTTCTTTATACTGTGACTCAGATCTTTTCAGCTAAACATAATCATTGGTTCGACCAGCGTTAGCGGGAGCCTCTAGCATCGCTCTCATCATAGTCACGCATCAATCGTGGTAGTGGTAGATGGAGGAGGGAGAGATGGTGGATAGGATAAAGCAGTGGCTCTTGCTCTAAAGCAAGATGGAAGGAGGATAGAATGATGCGAAGATGAAGGTATGGGAGTGCCGGAGGCGGAGAAGAGGAAGAGGAGGAAGAAGAGGAGGGCGGAAGGCGAGGCGGCGTAGGAAGGCGGGACGAAGGAATGCGAGGCGGAGGAGGGCAGGTCGGAGGAGGGAAGGTGATGGAAGAGGAAGGCAAGCTGGAGGAGGAGAGCGAGGTGGAGGAGGGCGAGGCGGAGGAGGAGGGCGAGGTCGAAGAGGGCAAGGCTGAGGAAGAGGAGGTCGAGGCGGAGGAGGACGAAGCGGGGAGGAGAGGTGGTACCTGCACATGAGCGCGAGCGCTTGCTGGCGCTGCACCTGAGTACGCTGCGACGCCATTTGCTGCTGCTGGTGGGCCAGGGTCTGCTTCATCAGCACCTGTTGCACAACAACCATTCCTAGTCTATTCTAATAATCTATCTATTATAATAATGCAATTTATTGGAATAGACTAGGAATTTAATTGAACTTTAAAACAAATTTAAGAGCGTCCATAACTTTAGTTTCTTTTTCTTTATGAAGCACACAACAAATGGTAACTATGTTAGGTTGGTATTGAGGTAGTTACGGTTTCTATACTAGGATTCAATTAAAAAAAAAAAAAAAAAAAAAAAAAAAAAAAAAAAAAAAAAAAAAAAAAAACGTGTACTCAGCATGATTCACATTAAGAGAAAACATTAGAATTATGATAGATGGAGAGCATTATAATCAATAAATAGCCACTCATATATATATATATATATATATATATATATATATATAAAATCTTTTCTTTTTTTTTTACTGTATAAAACAATATATATAATTTACTTTAAAGGACATTTATACCATAGAACTATCACCATACAAGAAATACACAAACCAGCCAAGCCAAACATGAACTACATCAGTCATGATGAACGACTCATGCACCTCCTGAATGACGACAGCTTCATGTTGACCATGTCGATGGATTTGTGGTTGAACACAAAACCATTATATTGGCGACACTTACTATGGTATTGACTATTCTAAATAAGCACAATAGGTCCCTGCACCAGCGACGTGTCTCTCAAGATGTGATATTGAACGACCTAAGTTTATCTCCATAACATCTTAATATGTGGAGATTATTTGACTAAAATGAAAGTATTTTTAGACATGTTTAATGTGATCATTATGAATTTTATGGAATGAAAACCAGACAACACTATTGTACTAAAATATTTCTGACATGTGCAAAACATAAGTATTTAAAACTCTCCTCTCTAGCAACTCATAGTTCCTTAGTACATCGAGTGATAAAACCTAATAATTTATTGCTCCTATTAATGAAATGCGTGAAGTTTGTATACCTCGTGGACGTGTGAGATTGATTATAGAGGATTTATCTTTTTTTATCATCCATTGTTATCTCTACCTTTGTATCACGAAATAATTAAATTAAATGTTACTTTTTCATCAAATGTCACCAAGATCATTTGCAGATTGTTTGCGCTACAACATTTCTTCATTTATTTTGTAATCAAATATAATCTTATGAGCGATACGCGTAAAAGATAAAATAATAATTTCGATTAAATTAATCAGCAATATAATTGATGTTATGTTGGAGCAATTGTTTATCGTTTTGGTCGGTTTCGACTTTGCTTTTGGCAGCTGGTAGGCCACGTCAAACTTTTTGCAGGGTCAAGTTTACTCGAGTGTGGCAATACCGAGATTATTTGTTAATTTCCAAAAAAACATTTTAACAATTTTTACTGTTCTTGACTGATTTAAGAGTTCTCTGTTAGCGTATTAAAAAAAAAATATATGCAATTATATTTTGATAAAGGTGTCACATAAAATTTAGATTTTAATGGTAAAAATGAATTTAAACAATTGCGAAGAAAAATATGGAGTGGGTGTAAAGATTTTAGTGGCAGATATACGTGAAACGTATTCTGGGATCAACATTTTATTTAGTTAAAAGAAACATGGATAATTATTCAAATGTTTTTGAATATTAACTACGACATGGCTAAAGTAGGCGGTGGTGTCGCCGTACTCACCATCTTGATGCTCTGCTCCATGGCGTACTTCTTGGCGCGTGCGACGGCGTCGGCCTGGTCGCCGGCCAGGCGCGGCAGCGAGCCGCCCAGGATGGCCGGCAGCGTCGAGCACTTGGCGCCCGGGCCTGCGCACAAACTTATTCATAAATCTACTACCCTTCGTCTCCAGCTATGTAGCCGACGAGCTTCTCACACACTCGGTTTGCTCGCTATCAATACGTTACAAACACGTACTCGTATTAATATATTCTAGTTAATTTTTTGCAACTTTTTAGAGTCGGAGTGATTCTGTCAGTCCTCACGTAGAAACATTTAGTACGACTAGTGTTTACGCGTGATCGGTATATGTCGACTGACTTCGAAAAGTAGCCCGTGACTTATACATTAGTAAGGATTTAAAAAAATTAATATTAACCTGAAATATCAGTCAGGTTGTTTGTGTGCAATGTGAGCTCATTGTATGTCCTCTGAGTGGCCGCACACCAAGATACCGTATCTGAGAATGGAAGCCACATATCGCTTGTGAGCTGGGAAAGCTACTGTTCATTTATTTACAATTACTAGTGGCCGAAAGACATACGAAAACAAAGTAACATTAGTGCTGTATATATGTAACTTCCACCATATTTTTCCACAGCTTGTGCAATATTTGGTGAATATGACATAATCATTACTGGCAGAACCTGCCAAGCGGGAGGCCTATGTTCAGCAGTGGACAGTTAACATCTGATATGATGATCAAGATAACAGTCACAGAAAACCTGACCATTAACAATATTTATATATATTTAGTGAAATCAATATTATATGTTATTAAAGATAGTTGTATTAAGTTACAAGTGGTGCATTACCTGTGAACACATCTCCAATCTGCTGCAAGTCGTAGATGGGCGCCGAGATGAAGCCACCTGTAAATTACAACAATCGATTATGTCACGCCAAGTGCGCACCCGAGATATTCGTCAGTGGACGCTGGCACACGCACATTCATACACTCCGGCGCCTTTAATAAAGTATCCGTTCAAATCGATCACGGAACTTTCCCTAGTATTTCAATTTAAGTATACTATATCCAGCCACGACTCTCAGTCGAGTCCCTTCCACGCGGATCGTCAATTAAAAGGTCTTTCACACACTTGAATGGATACAAGCGAGAGGCGTGTTCGGTCGGCGCGCACTCACTCCGCCAGCCGCTCGGGGTACGAGGCAGTATAATGAAGTAGGTACATTATGACCGGACCGGCGGCGAGGAGGCTGCCCGGGACCCGGAGTCGACTCGGCACCACGCCTAAGCGTATAGCACAATAACCTAACTTACAAATCTAGCCTGAAACAGAAAGCAGAAACACTGATCACTGAGGATGGTTTCGAGAACGAGCTACGAGCGATCGAGTCTAGTCTAGTATAGTCTAGGAGGCGCAGTCGCGGCGCGGGCTGCGGCTCGGCGGCGGCGGCGCGGCGGCGGCGTCTGCAACAGCGAGCACACAGCGGGCCGTCAGTGCGAGCTCAGCGGACGACAGCGGCGGCGGCGGCGGCGGCGGACATACTCACCGGCGGGCGGCGCCAGCTGCACGGCGGCCGCCTGCGGCTGCGGCGGCGGCGGCGGCGCCAGCTGCGGCGGCGCCAGCTGCGGCGGCGCCATCTGCGGCGGCGCCATCTGCGGCGGCGCTAGCTGCAGCGGCTGGCTCTCGCCTCCCTGCAACTGAAGGGACACGGGCCGGTCAAAATATAACTAAAAAAAACATGTTGCTGAAACTGCTATAACATGCATTTATTTATTTTTGTTGTTACATATTTAGTTAATTAATATTGCAATTTAAAAATATCATAATATTATTTACTTCATACTTTAACATATAGAAAATAACATAAATTATGAAAATTCTAAACACACAACAGCAGTGTTCATTATAAGAGAACTCGTTTTATTCAATTAATAACATATTTCTGAGTTCAATAAAGAGAAGATTCTTTTCTACATCAGAAAAAAATTAAATTTAGAATTTTACTTCATTCCTTAACTAAGAAAATATGTCAATTTAGGAAACATTTACTATTAAAAAAATTTTAATAAAATAATTACTAATTTAAAAAAATTAATAAAAATGATTTAGTTCCTATAACTACTTCTATAAAATCTGTTCCTCAGAATCTATACTATATAAAATTGTCTATTACGACTGACTATCAATGTACATCCAAATTTATTAAGTATAGGATTCTGAAAGTTGGAAGATATGTTTATATTGTAAACATCTGTACAGAAAGAATTTTTAAAAATTTTAATTCATTGGGGAAACACAGCACCACAAGAGCAAAACCACAGGCAACAGTTAGTTTATGATATCATTATATATTGTTGCCAGGTTGTCTGTAAGAGATTGCTTCTAGCGATAAGGCCGCCTTTTGTATATGCACATTCTGTATAAATACTTCTTGTATACATCTCTACTGTGCGCAATAAAGAGTTTATTATTATTATATATATATTTATCCAAACCAAAATAAAAGATGCTCTTCAGCATAGTATGAAACAGAAGTGGAGATGGGCAGGTCATATAGTGAGGTACAAAGATAAAAGGTGGACTCTCCAAACAACTAAATGGCGAGGTCCAGCAGGAAAAAGAAATGTTGGAAGACAAAGAAAGAGATGGGAAGATGACATAATAAAGATAGCAGGAAAGAACTGGACGGGTATTGCTATAGATAAGGAGAAGTGGAAAAAGATGGAGGAGGCTTTTACCCTTGGGGACCACGGAAGTGGATAAAAAAGCTATAAAAATAATAATAATATATTTATCCAACATACTGGAGTTTCGTTAGATGGCCACAGAGTGTTTATGACCTATAGATATTTATAATATAGATATTATTTCGATTATTCTATTACATTCATATCTTCTAGAGACAATGAAATTAAAATACCAATTCATTCCAAAATGTCATTAGTTTCATACTATGAAATGGACTATTAAACTTGGTCAGTATTAATATTTTTGTACCAGAGGGAGACTGTACAAAAGTCGTTTGCTCTGGCACCTCTGTCTCATTCATGTTTCTATTGTTAAGCAGCAGTGTTTGCATGGTTGTGTTTTGGTTTGAAGGGAAGGTTATGGCAGTGAATTTACAGGGTACAAAGGAATAACATCTAAGTTCTTAGGAATGGCAATGCAGGGGAATTATCATTGGCGAAACAGTATACTCTGTTATGTCCATAGTATTGCTTATGTCTATAGGCGATGGTTACCACTTTTCATCAGGTGGGCCGTCAGCTTGTTTACCATTGTAAGTTGCAAAAAAAAAATACATGTAATATTAAACAAGTCACACATAGCTGGCTGTTTTATATGAATCTCTAATATATAAAATAGGGAAAAAATTTTTTGGGTACATAAGGAAGAGAATTAGAATAAGTGTTCAAAATGTGAATATTATTTACAGGGTTAATTTTATTACTAAACTATTAACATAATTAATATGAAACTTACTTCATGTTTTTATTTTACAGCAGTTCAGTAGTCACATTGTTAGGTTATAAACGTCAAGATGGCACAATTAAAATTTTAAGGAAAAATAGTTACTTACCAATTCCATATCTATCTTAGATCACTGTTAATATTTTAGGAGTCGAATTAACAATTGATAAATTAATGGTTACGTACACCGCAAAATGTTTGTAAAAATTGATTGCAATTATCGTACATTTGATAGCAAGAAAATGAGTAACAGTAGTGGCATTATGGTAATTTGACATTTCACATAGCATTTGGCAGTTTGGTAGAGCAGTCTATGGTACATTGGGTTGCCAACTTTAAAAATATTTATCTCCCAAACATATGTTAAAATAGATGACAAATAATTGTGCAATGTTTTTAATGAAAAAAAAAAAAAAAAAAATATATATATATATATATATATATATATATATATATATATATATATATATATATATATATATATATATATATGAGTACATTGCACTTATTTATTTATCATTTAGGAAAATATACTGCTTGTATATTTTGATTATTAGATTTGTTATTATGAATTAATTAACATTTTCAAACAAATTTATTTAAAAATGTAAACTTTGATATGACATAGATTATTTGTTATGACCAGTAATTTATGAATGTAATTTATAAAGGTAGGTACATCAAGTAGCTGAGTTAAATAATTTGAGTGATTCTTAATTTTATTGATTCTAATACATTGACATTATAAATTGCTGTTTAGTTCATAGGACGACCATCATATTGAGGCACCATCGAGGCGCCAGGTCAACCTCTATGAGATTCCTTCTGAAAATCATTGTGGTTAATCATGGTTAAATTTGTCACAAGGGGTAAATTGACCTGTTTTATCTTCACATTTAACATCACTAAAAGTGACATTCAAATTGAAGAATGTAAGTAATAGAAATTAAAGATGCCTAAAAGAATACATCCAAAGCCAAACATATCACCAAAAAAAAGTTAAGTTGATTTTTACTTAATCTTTTTTTTCAGTACGAATATATAAGAATCTGTGTAGAAACATATTTCAGAATTAATCGAAGTGGGAGCCATTTTAATTATTTTCAAGTTTTTGGAAATAGCTTTATATAGGAATTAAAAATATGAGTTAATTAATTATAAGGTGACCAAGTGGTCCCGGCTTAAAATGAACCACCCTTTCCTTTCCCGTGGTTGTTGTAAGAGGCAACTAAAGAAACTTAATGGTCGAGGGACGGGTAGCACTAACCCTCTTAAAACATCCTCAAATCTTAACTACGGTTGCCAACCCGTCGGCTAAGTGTGGCAACTACAGGCAAAACAGGCAGGGGGAAACCCATGTTCAGCAGCGGACAGTTAACGACTGATGAGATTGTAGTTGTTTGGACGAAATAAGTAACAACCAACTTGATTATATTATTGATTTTTATATAATAAGAGAATGACAGCAGAAATGAATGTGAGAAGTAAACGTAGCTGTCATGTCTGTATGTCCAGTGCGAAAGATAGAAAGAGGTGAAACATCTATGTACAATTAAATTAACCTACTTGATGGAGAAGAAAGTAATGATGTTGATAAATGGCTATGAGATGAATATTTACAATATTAATTTACAGACGCCACAACACTCCCCTGCCGAGACCGTTTCACGGGCGATAGTAGTTCGGGAACCGAACAGTTCTGCCGCTGCGTGTGTTTCTTTCAGGTGGCCTCTCTACTGAAGTGTGCGGGAGTAGCGGTGATGTGGATGCTTCTGGGCTGGTGTTATTGTTGTCCCATGCCATATACGCCGGTTTCAAGCGATCTAATGAGACGGTAAGCTCTTTTCCTTGAACGTCGATCTTGAATGTTTTAGATTCTCTTTCCAGAACCTTATGTGGCCCCGTATAGGGTGATTCAAGGGCTTTCTTGAGATGACCTCGGCGCAAGAAAACATATTCTGCATTGGCGAGATCTTTGGGTAAGTAAAATGTCGGCTTACTGTGGCACGATGCAGGTGTTGGTGTCAACTTGGCCATATGTCGACGTAGGCGAGCAACGAAGTCTGTGGGATCGTATATGGTGTTAGCAGTTGGAGTGAAGAACTGACCAGGCAATCGAAGCGTCTCGCCGAAGACAAGCTCTGCTGCTGAGGTCTTCAGGTCTTCCTTCCAGGCACTCCTGATACCCAATAAAACCAGCGGCAATACTTCAGTCCACTGCGGGTTATTGTGGCACATGATAGCTGCTTTGAGTTGCCGGTGCAGTCTCTCCACCATGCCATTGCACTGCGGATGGTAAGCGGTGGTGGGATTGTGTTTGGCACCTATTAGTTGTGAGATACTCTGGAAGAGGCGGGACTGGAACTGTTGACCCCGATCTGTAGTTATGGAGTGAGGACAACCAAAGCGGGCCACCCAGCCAGACATGAAGGCGCTCGCACAGGATTCGGCCGTGATGTCCACCAGTGGGTAAGCTTCAGGCCAACGAGTGAACCTATCGATGGCGGTGAGGCAGTACCTGTAACCAGATGAATGTGGCAGAGGACCAATTATAGTCGAGATGGACATGAGAAAAGCGTTCAGATGGAATGGGAAATGTGGTGAAAGGTGACAATGAATGACGGGTGACTTTGTTGCGTTGGCAATCTGTGCATTGTTGAGCCCACGTTCTGCAGTCACGTTGTATACCAGGCCATACATATCTATGAGCAATTAGTTTGGCTGATGCTGCTGCTCCAGGATGACTGAGATTATGCAACTTTTCGAATGCCAGTCGTCGAAATGATGGTGTCAAGTATGGTCGTGGATATTCCGTGGAAAGGTCGCAATATATATTTCCGTCAACCTTTTCCAAGACAAGTGCTGAACCTTTTTTGAGGAGATCTTGTAGTTCAGGATCTTGAGCCTGATCATGTGCAAGATCTTCGTAATTAATGTCCGATGTGATGTCCTCAATGCGAGACAATGCATCAGCTACAATGTTGTCGTTACCAGCAATATGACGTAAATCTGTTGTGAACTGGGAAATGAAGTCTAAATATCGAAATTGACGTGGCGAACATTTGTCTCGTTTGGTTTTAAATGCATACGTGATAGGCTTATGATCGGTGAATACTATGAAGATTCTGGCTTCCAACATGAATCTGAAGTATTTTATCCCTTCATATATGGCGAGAAGTTCTCGATCATAAGGGCTGTACTTCTTTTGCGATGATGACAGCTTTCGCGAGAAGAATCCTAACGGTGACCATTCGTTATTACACCTTTGCTGGAGAACTGCGCCAATAGCTTCATCGGATGCATCAGTGAATAAAGCAAGTTCGGCATGAATATCTGGATGTGACAAGAGGGTTGCCTGAGATAAACTAGATTTGCATTGGTTGAATGCTGTTTCAAATTCCTCCGTGATATAAATAGGAGCTGAACCCTTGATGTTTCCTGTGAGTTGGGTATTGAGGGGATCTTGAATTTGTGCTGCATTCGGAATAAATCGCCGATAGTAATTCAGCATTCCCAAGAATCTCCTTAACTCTTTGGCAGTTTTGGGCACAGGGTAATTCTGTATTGCTGTCACCTTCTCTTGGAGGGGACGAGTACCGTCTACAGAAACGTGGTACCCTAAGAATGTCAGCTCACTAACGCCCCAGACACACTTTGCGGTGTTAATTAGTACGCCGTAATCTTTGAACCTCTCGAACAGGATCTTAAGATGACTAAGATGCTCCTCCTGATTTTTGGAGAAGATGAGGATGTCATCGAGATAACCGAAAACAAAATCAAGTCCTTGCAGTACTTCGTCGATAAATCGTTGAAAAGTTTGGGCTGCGTTTCGTAACCCAAAGGTCATAAAAGGAAATTCAAACAACCCAAATGGTGTGGTGATAGCAGTTTTCGGAATATCGGCTTTGTGAACGGGAATTTGATTGTAGGCCTTGATTAAATCAATTTTTGACAGTATTTTTGAACCTGATATCTGATAGCTGAAGTCCTGGAGGTGTCTGATGGGATATCTGTCTGGAATCGTTCTTGCGTTGAGTGCTCGGTAGTCTCCGCATGGACGCCAGCCATCATCCTTTTTACGGGCGAGATGAAGTGGTGAAGACCAGGAACTCTCCGATCGACGAGCGGTCCCATTCTGTAACATGTCCTCAAATTCCTTTTTAGCAATGAGTAATCGGTCAGGTGCTAGTCGGCGAGGCTGAGATGCGACTGGAGGTCCGGGTGTGGTTCGGATGTGATGACGCGTGTTATGCTTCGGTTCGACTGGTGCACCAGCTGGTCTGGTGATTTCTGGATACCTACGCAGCAAGTCGTGAAATGGCGAGTCTCCCACAACTGCTTTAATGGCGACTGTCTCTAGTGAGGTATCGTGACAGTGAGGAACTGACACAGAGAGAGTGGTGAGTCCGTCTATAAGTCGATGGTTACGGCAGTCGATTAATAAATTATAATGACTTATAAAATCAACCCCTATTATCGGCTTGGTAACGTCGGCCACGATGAATCTCCAGCTGAAGTTCCTTCTTAGGCCAAAATCGAGGTAAAGTTGGGTGTAGCCATATGTAGCTATAACGGAATTATTAGCTGCGTATAACTCGTACCTGGTTTTAGGTCGCTGTCCTCTGGTTGCTGATTTTGGGAATACACATAAATCAGATCCTGTGTCTACCAGGAACTGTATCTTCGTTTTTCTATCAGTGACAAAGAGGCGGCCATTACACACTAGGCAGTCATTTGCCGCCACTATTGGCTGCCTATGCAGTTTTCCGACTTGAACGTGCATGGAGTCGTACACCGTTTGGCTGAAGCCCCGAACTTCCGATGATACCAGCAGACACTGTTGTTACGTGTTGTAGATCGCAAGCGGGATCCTGAATTAGTACGTCGATAGTTCGGTCGGTCTCTCGATCTTGACCGAGACTCCTCCTGTTGTTTAAGAATCAGCGTCTCTACTTGGCTTGTTAACTCCTCTACTCTACGGCACATAGTATTGAAGGCAGATTCCGGCACTGTTGATGTTGCCTGAGCAATGGTGGGTGGTGCAATGTCGTGCACGTGATCCACGAGGTCTGCAATGGTTTCGAGCGGGCTGTCCTTTTGCATGGCGACAATAGCTTGAAGGTTGGCTGGCAGACGACTCGACCAAATAGTACGCATCAGATCTTCACTTACAGCTTGACCGGCGAGACTCTGCAGGTGACGCAAGAATTGTGAAGGCTTCCGATCACCGAGCTCTTCATGCATCAGCAACTGCTTAATTCTACGTTCCTTAGATGTGGTAAGGCGCTTAATAAGTTCCGATTTCAATTTATCATATTTGTCCGAAGATGGTGGCGATACGATAATGTCTTTCACCTCGGCTGCGTACTGATGATCGAGTTGACTTATCACGTAATAAAATTTTGTATTGTCGGCCGTAATGTTTGACAAAATAAATTGACCTTCAATTTGCGCAAACCATACCTCCGGTTCTTCAGGCCAGAATGGTGGAATCTTGACGCCTACTCGGTATGTGTCGGTTCCGTTAGTCTGTTGTTCCATTTTTTATGATCCGTGTTGCGGTCGGTAGGTCACCAATGTAGTTGTTTGGACGAAATAAGTAACAACCAACTTGATTATATTATTGATTTTTATATAATAAGAGAATGACAGCAGAAATGAATGTGAGAAGTAAACGTAGCTGTCATGTCTGTATGTCCAGTGCGAAAGATAGAAAGAGGTGAAACATCTATGTACAATTAAATTAACCTACTTGATGGAGAAGAAAGTAATGATGTTGATAAATGGCTATGAGATGAATATTTACAATATTAATTTACAGACGCCACAAGATGATGGCTAAATGTAAAAATTATTGAAGCGTTTTGAAGTCGTAAGTTTAAATTCTTAATGCTATTTTATTAATCCTTATCTACATTTTTATCTAGATAATATAGAGTTGTAACAATGTTCTTATGATGAGTAAGTATATGAAACCCTGTTTGGGTGCAGCAAAGTTATATTGATAGCTAGTTAATATACATGCATTAATTACAATTTAAATGTCAGATTATATTTAATTAATTTACATATAATTGTTTGTTTTTAAATAGATTTGTCACGCAATAATTTCGATTTACATTAAACAAAATAAACAACAATTGAAAATATCATAAAAATATTTGAAGTCAGTCTAGTTATTTAGGTATATAATATTTATGTCAATCTGATTAATTATTTACAAGTCATGTGCGATTTGAACCGTGGCATGGCGCATTTTTTTATTTCAACTAGCTAAAAAGTCGTCAAATGAATAAAAACAATTTGCTATTAAATATTTTTTAGTTTAGTATGAAATAATTTATGTCTTTTCATTCTTACTGTCTTCTTGAATTTTATTATGAATTTGTATCGATTTATACAGTGGGCTATTCTTAAAAAAAAAAATGTTATTTTTGGTTCTGGTAATTCTATTTAATTATTGCGACGGGGGTTTTTTATATGATTTAATATTTTGTCTAACGTACGTAATTATCTAAATCAATACTTATATCATTTAAAAAAAAAGAATGTTGAATTTTGGTCAAATCTGATATCGGATCCATATTTAAATTGTATACGGATCTTCAAATATTGATTCTGAAAGCAATCGACCAAGTTACAAAGAAAATAAAAATGGCGGTCGTTTTGAATAATTCTGACATTGGACTTATATTTGAAATGTATACATATCGTTGGACATTGATTTTAAACACAATCTGTCAAATAACAATTGATCCATTAGATAATGTATATATAGTTGAATTTAAAATCCTCATTTTGAAATTATTTGAGAATGGTGGCTGTTTAATTAATAGTTCAAGTAATTGTGTCATAATGTAATTTAATTTAATAAGAATAACATGAAATAGTCTACATAATACTCAATAATATCTATGTGTAAATATTATATATATGTCGGTAGTTATTGCAATACTATATTTACATTGTTCTGCATAAAATGAGTAGCAGGATTGCCTGTATAAAATGAGTGACCTAATTATAATAACGAAATTAACTAAAGAGCATTTTAGCGAGGTTACCTCTCTATATAGTCGCAGCTGGTCGCGAGCGTAGCACCAGACAATAGGGGCCACGCTAGTTTAAAGTAGATCTCAAATCAAACAAATAAATCAAATAATTTTATCCGCAGGGGGTGACTAACGTTTCATCGTTCAATTTATAACCATAACCAGATTAGCCCCTAACTTATTTTTTAAATTTGATATATAATTTAAAATTACAGTGTAAAAAATGAATTTTTATGATGTTTTTTGTTTTGCTTATTCAAATTCCATATTTGAAAGGCAATATCGGGTATTGTGTTTGTAAATGAAATTTTTTTATTATGAAAGGTCAACAAAACAGATGTACAATGTGAAAGTGGATGACCTAGGTGAGACCTAGGATACGATCAGGGCATTAAGGGCGTTATGTTATATAAAGCAATGGTCATTGCTATACTTGTAATGCGGTCTTTTTAATCCCCTTAATAGATTATGTATTGTCTAAGGGAACAGGCAATAGTCTTCGGAATCGGTAGCGTGAGACTAATTATGAAATTGCAGGAAGTAAGAGATGATGCAAGGACTTGATGTCAAAATAGATTAATTGCATTATCAGAAACTTTTATTGTTGCGTTTGATATGAGATCTACGTTCAGCAGTAGTCCATAAATGGCTAAAATGATGGTTAGGAAGATACCTACGCAGAAAAGCTTACATCGCTCTTTGAAATCCAATTTAAAAATAGTGAGTACCTATCTAGCTAGCTATTTTACGTTTGTTTATTTGCACGAACTTGAAATGCAGAGTAGGTAGCTATTTAGATGTAGCCGTGATTGCATACCATGCGTGCTGCATCCCGCCGCGCGCCAGCGGCACAGCGATCGGCGCACGTGCACGCGCCGCGTACGTTCTATATTGGCATGTAATCCACGCGCTTGTGAGGTGTATCCCGGCCTCCGGGCGGGATCGCCCGCGCAACACATTTTGGATTTTGAACTCAATTCACTCAGTTGTGGCAACTCGAGCTGCTCGTACGCATGCGATAGTGTCGTGCGGTGCGTGTGTACTGCTTACGAACGTGAGATCGAAACTTTTGACGTTCAACGTTAAACAATTTATCGTTGTTGAAGAATTTTGTGAGTGAAATTGCTCGGGATAGGAGACACCTTTCTGAAAATAAATGTGTAGCAGGTGAGTTATATTCTGAAATATAATTTTAAGCGCCTAGTTATTTAAATTGCACAATTTTCTTTCTGCCTGTCAGCGTCAGTTTATTTGGAGCGTGTGGGTGCTTTGATGATCTGAATGTCCCAATTCCATTAGTGGCACGTCTTTCTAAGTAATTAAAAATCAATTGGCATAAAACACGTGACACGCAGGTCGCGGCTGCATTGTCGTATATTTTGGAAAATAAATTAATAAAAATAGCATTTAAATATATGTCAAAAATAGTTTTGTATTAATTTAGGCAAAATAAATCATTAGGGTCGTACACATTAACAGTTATACACAGTTATACCTTTTACGCACAGTAACGAGCTACACTACACTATATTAAGTTGATCGACGAGATAAATTGATCATGGCCAGGCCGTCCCAAGGGAAATAATCAGAGACGTTAATCGTTAAGCAAGTACTCACTCGTGATTACTTCAACTTATTCACTGTTCACTGGCTGCTGAGCACAGGTCGCCTTTCATATGGTAGCGACATCAGTCTGAGTTCGCTATCAGAGTACAAACATGTTACAAGTGTAGAAACAAAGGAGTGGGAAATGATGACAATATAGCTCCCAAAATTTATTACAATTCATATAATATAATAATTATTATTTTATTTCGATGGCGGTTAGGGGCACTATGCACAAAGTATTTTAATAATGAAGATTGGAGACGTCTAACATCGACTAAGAGCTCACTCTTAGTATTACGAGGACTTGAAGACACGACATGTCGCGGAGAGCTATGGTAAGGATTATGCACGTACTGTCGTTGCGGGATAGAATTTAAAACGAAAATGTTCATATAAGAACCAAGGGTAGTCTGAAGGATCAGCAAGCTGAAGTTGCAATGTCCTGTTGGACATGTAGTTCAAACAACAAATTTAATCGATTGCGATAAAAAGTTTTAGATAGGCCGGCAAGAGCAATATGGAGTGTACCCCATAAGACAGAGTGATATATGTTTTTGAGATAGAGTGATAGACGGGCTGTTCAGGACCACACTCTTTATGAAAATATGAGGGAAACTCACGACACGCATAGGTTGTAATGGAAATGATGGTGAGTGCGTGCGTCCGTGTCTGCGTGCGCGTTGTACGAGTGTGACACGAGTTCGTCAATACACCGATGCGGAAAGCGGGAGTTTATTGGGCGCGCGCAGCTGCGTTAAGATGTCGTTGTGACAACATGCGACGATATTTAGCTAACCTTTGGGCGGTATTCTGAGCGTGCTATTTGCGTGCTATACGATAGCGCAGAAATAGCCACTTGCAAATCTTGAACGACAAATCGGCATCCCCATCTAAAGCGAAGATAAGCGTTTAATTATTGCCTCGTTTTAAAACTCCAAAAGTAGTAGAATATATAAAACAATCGGTAGTTGTTATTTATGCAATCGCTAAAACGGTAATTGGTAGTGAATTTTAACTTCAAAGTTCGATATTGATAATGTGGAAAAGCTATAAATTTGATGTGGACAGCGCAGCATCAACACGACGTATCCAAAATAGAGTTATGTTCGCGTAGCAGCGGTGCGGGGCAACGACACTTGTTTAGAAGGGTACACCTGGCGCCGCCGTCGAGGCGCTGACTGTGTATGTGCTGTATTATAAATCATTAGAACAAAAGCGATCGGTGGCGCTACCACACTACAAGCGTGGAACCTGATTATGTTCCGAGATCACAGGCTTTCAGGAAACCTCTTTTGAAACATGTTCGTGAAATAAAAGTATTAGAATATCAAATCATCAAAACTAAGATTCGAAATAATCGTTAACCAAGAGTGGTTGGATTTCATTTTCTTATGGCTGTAATTTATATTTCTTTGCAAGTGTTAATCTCAAATATACAGAAACATTTTGTTGTTTATATTTATTAAACGCGTGTTTTGCGCAGGAATCATTATATCCTTAATTACTTACATTGTAATATATACCACATAAATGGCGGTGAACGGTTACTGAGTAAGCTACATGGATTGACGACGGAGTAAAGTAACATCTGGGGCACATTGGTATAATGTAATGACTATTGCAATTATAGTAGGCATTTGTAGTGCCTAAGAGCAAGATTGAGACATAGACACGATGTTCGCTTAATGCGAATAGTTTGCGACTATAAATAACTTGCAGATGGAAATTATAATGTGTCAGCTCATTTTCATTTCCGAGGAAATCGTAAGTGATGACTGAGGGATCCATTTCCTCAGATCACATCGAACTTGTGTAAGAGAAAGAAAATTTAAAAATTGTACCAAGCCACTTAGCAAGTATCGAAGTAGAAGGACGGAGCAATGGCTAGCAGTAACACTTTAATGAATTGCTTTTCGCATTGCCCACGCACACATGTCTAGGTACATATATTTATAAGCTATGTTTTATGTCCCAAAATTATTTGTTCTATTTATTGTTGACTGTCTTTAAATTGTAATTTGATGTTTGTATTTCAGATGCAAATAATTTTTTATCTATCTAACAGATTGTAATACACTGTGGGTCATCATTATCATATCAGCCTTTAATTGTCCACTGCTGAACATAGCCTTCTTCTTGGGGAGTTTTGCCAGTAGTTGCCACGCTTGGCAGGCGTCTTGGCAACCGCAGGTAGGCTATGGAGATGTTTTAAGAGGAACGCTGCTGTCCATCCCTCACCCTTCCTTAGTCGCCTCTTACGACACCCACGGGAATGGATGGGTTGGTCTATCCTATGCCGGGATCAAACGGCGAATCGTATGTGTTTAGAAATGTAATATGAATTGTATTTGTTGTTTACCAGAGTTAGTTCGTATGTACTTTCAATGTTCATTGTCGTTTTTACGTTGCACTCGCAAATGAACCATGATAATAATGTAGTTAATTTTAACCGTTTGTAATAAGACACGGGTTGTTTGTAAGGAGTGGGAGGTTTCGAGGAAAGCGATTCAATGTTAATGTGTTCCATCCAAACGTACCTATATTATTGATAAAATAAAATTAACACAAGTATTAGCAGGATGGATTTACGATTTATTTAATCGTAACCAGTCGTTTGCAGCCGCACCTGCAAGGGACCAGTTAAATGACGTTTTAGTATGAAATACTCTAAATATTTTTATAGACATCTCAACAGTGTCCTGTCGTCTTCGTTGGTAGACAAATTGTGATTGAATGATCAGTCGGCGATGTGTTGTGGTGTTGTGTGTACTTCAACATGTTATTGGCCGCAGCCTCCTGTATTTACGTGAACCAATTAATTTCAACGATAAAATATGAAAAACAGTGCACATGGGCGACATTAGAGTATAATAAGAGGGTGCGACATAAGTGGGATGTGTATGACGCGTGTGCCAGTTTCCCACGCCTGCTGATCACCCACCGCCGGCCGCCGGCGCTCACTCGACAGCTAAGATTTTTTTATAACAATAGTTTATGGTTCTTTACTATAAAAGTTGGTCAGTGCATAGTGCGTGAAATTGATATAGTACTTCTTTACTTCTACGTATACATTATTTTAATAGTATTGCTAATTTTATATTATCCTTATTAATAGGCGGGCAAAAATTATTTATTGGTCAGTAGTGGTAGTGGTGTCAGATGTGTGTTTAGCTCGTATTTTGCTTTGTATAATTATCAACCATAAGCCGCTTATTATCTATATTTTTCATTATACAAAATCTTTTCATATATAATCAACTTCAAAAAAGGAGATTCTCACTTCAGTTGTATTTTTTTAATGTTTATTACCTCACAACTTCATTATTTCTAAACCGATTTGGAAAACTCTTTTTTTATCGAACAAGAATAAATTGCAGATTAGTCCTAAAGAAATTTTATAAAAATCAGTTCAGTAATTTAGTTTTAGATAAAAACAATTGATTTTGTTACCATTGAAGTCGATTAAAAGTAACTGAGATCGAATAAAAGTGGAATGTGTGAACTCTATGTCTCAACACGTTTCAAAGGTGGTGAGGGATCGTTAGTAATGCGGACTACCAGTCTCATTGCTAGCGATATACGCTGTCAGGTCGACCTCCAAGTGGTCCCCCTGGAAACCATCGCCAGGGATATTCATAATAGATGACTATTTTCGGCATAACTAGTTTTAATTTTATTAAATTGAAGTTTTTTTTTTTTGTGGAAGAATAATCCTACATCAGTTTCGTGCATTTGAATGCTGTCAGACCTTAACGACGATCGTTAAAGGACGAACACACGCGGTCGAGATGTGAATCTTAAGACTTATAACGGCTGGTAAAGGCCAGTGGAAGAGAAAATGTTTTACTACGTAGTAATAGGAAGGCGAATCAATGATGAGGATGCAGCTAAAGTTTGTTACAGATTATGGACACATACGCATACATATATACATATGTGTGCTGCGCGCTGCGCCGGCCGGTGCGGGGCCGGGGTCGTGGTCGCGTGATACGCGCGCGCTGCACGCGGTCACCACAAACGATATTATCTCATAATCTCCGAACTCGGCGAGTCAACTTAATTAATTTACGCCCTCCGCCGTTATACTTGCGTTCTGCATTAATTGATATACGGATATGAGTTTTCAATTTACAAATAACTTTAATGCAGTAACTGACAGATGTTACATTTTTAATTAGTTCTTTTGATTGGATCTTGTCGGTAATTATAATTGTATATAATTAACAGTAATTTAATAAAATTAAGTATATCGTTGTTAAAAAAATACTACTGGATGTATTCCAATGATTATTATTATGATATTATTAAGTATAAACTAGCCAGGCTAATGTGTTAAGTGAATAGTGGTTGGTGTTTGTTATTACAAACACCAACATCGCTCGGCTCGACCACAGTTTGTAAGGAATTTGCTGATTAAAACGAGGTGTTATATTGACGAGTGTATTGCGACGACTAAATAAAAACTACAAAATATAGATAATAAATAAAAACTATAAAATATACGGGTGGTTGAGATAGGTACAGGCAAGAGTTGCCATTCATAATGTGAAGTAAGTAACAAACGATTTATGGATTCAACAGCGGTATTCTTATTCTTCTTCTTGCAGTGCCTCTCTAACTAGTGAAGGTAGGCTATCAGTTTACGGAATCTGTCCATGTCTCTTGTGAGGTGGGATAATCCGGCTGCACGTACAATCCCCGTCCACTCCAGGATGTTGTGGATCCAAGACTTTTCCCGTGATCTTGCCAGCAGTAACTTTGCCCATCATAATCACGTGTAAAAGGTGATATCTGTCGTGTCTGAGTACATGTCCAAGATACAAAGTTTTCTGAATTTTTTATGATGGGCAATAACTTGTGCTGTTGCTTAGTTTGTCATAGAAGCTCTGTATTGATCATTTTGTGTATCCAACTTATCCTCAATATCCATCTGTACGAGTATATCCTCCCATCTTATACGTCGGTCTCCTCCTTTCAAAACTAAAGCGATCCAAAACAGTATTGGAACGTTAATGGATTTGGTTTAGACATTGAATGAAGAATTGGAGTTTACTTGGTGTATTTCATCATATTTGTTAGTACATCATCCGCATTATTATCATTATTGTGTAATAAATACTTACATACGTTATCATATTAATAATTGAATAGTAGGTACTGGTTAAAAATATTAGTAGACTGTACGCAAACGTTGATGTCTTTTGCATGAAATACTTGTCGATAATACCCGCAAGGTCGATATGGCGTTGCGCGTTTACTATACCGCATTTTATATAACGTTTTAAATTCGGAGATTAGTTTCAAAACTCAATAGGAGCCGTTGATTCATATGCGCTGTTCGCGGTTGTGTCGCGAGCGGCACTTTAATTGAAAACTTGAGTAAGAGCCATATAAATAATTACAATATACTCGTATGTATGTATGTATGTATGAGTCACGATAGTTATTATTGAAAAATTTGATTTTATTATTTTTTACCTACTGGAAGTACAACAAATGTGGCCGAGCTGCAATGAACAAATTGTAAAATAAGTTTATGACAGTTCACGACCGTTTTATTTATTGTGTACTATAGCCTATGATACCTGCACAATGAAGACATAAAAAAGACATTTTGTTTATAAAAGTTCATTAAGCCGATTGATGATTCGTCAAAAAAAAAACTAACAAGAAATACATAGAAATAAAAATATTACCTTCTCTCACCTTTGGCAGATGGGTTAAAGAATAAAAAAGGTCAAATCTGTGATAGGATTCATTAATTGGAAGTTGACTGGGTTATGTTCTACCCCGTCAGTTCTACTGCCCGCTGTTCCACTGGAATTTATCGAAGTATTTTTCATTCCGTTGGAATGATTAATTTCTTAGAAATCCACATACAATAGCTACGAACAATATTTTGAACTATCATAAATTATAAATGAAAGAGTGCAGTCCATTTTTATTTTGAATAATTTATTTAATAATTAATTGGTTGTTTGTGCGGTTTGCGTCGCCTGCGAGAGCCGCGGCGATGGCGACGGGGCGCGCGCCGCGGGCGGCGACGGCCGCTCTCGGACTCTCTTTGAAACTCACTAATATTATTTGAATCAAGACAAGGGCAAGTAAAACACAATGCGTTTAAAATATATTTTCATTTAAAAGCTTTTCTAGTAGGAAGAGGAGAAATAAAAAGAGAGTTAATAAAATCATATATGATATTGGTAATATATGTATACTTATTGGTAGACTCATTAAAAATATCACAATATAAATATTATTTAAAATAATTGAATCACGATACAGGTTGCCACTGTTGCTGTGTGTTGACAGTAGCATTTAGAACAATGATTGCTTATTAGACTGCTTTGTATGCGAGAAGTAGGAAAACTAATGAAATAGGTAATTTTTAGGTGACATGACGATGAAACGTATACTAGATTTTAAGTTAGACCTTAAATACAACTGTGAAAATTGCATTTAATTTAGTGTAGTAGTGTTTGTGTGATGTCGGAACAAACACAAAGACGGTAAGATTTAATTAAAAAAAAAAAATCATGTGCGATCAGCGCGCGCTCCGGCAACGGCGGGGGTAGTGGTGGTGGGGCCGATTGTATAGTGGTATACAGTCATGTCGCCGGATGACGGGTTTTCTTCCCGAGTCGATATATCGGGAAAAGTTATCGCATACTATGATGATTGATATATAATAAATAATCACAATACAGTATGATTCACGATGGTTAGGTACCGTTCAATAAGTAGAGTATGCCTCCATATCCTGTAATATGTTAGCCATATCTCACTGTTTAAGTCGGTGTATTTGAAAATAGTATGAATATGAACGAGCCAGTGATTGTTGCAGGGCCCGCTCGGTCCTCGCGGCCGCTGCAGCTGGTTGACTGACTGGCTCCGAGCCCGCGCACCAGCCCGCCGCACCAGCTCTCGTCATGGGCGTATACGACGCCCTGCTGCTCATAGCGGCTCTACCCGCACTCGCTGGTAAATAGAAAACATATTCCCATTTTATCTGAGCGACGAACAAAGAAATCTATAATGTTATTTTATTTCTATAAAATATTAGTTTTTACCCATGGCCTCGTCCACCATATTGAGATAAGTTGATTGATTAGCTGAAAAAGTAGTTTATGTCCTTCCGTATCATAAATAGTAACGCCAAGGAAACTATTAATTTCTTGTTTATTATTTAAGGACTTCACAGTTGCGTATTGTATTCGTATGAATCATCTGTCAATTGTAATAGAACTCATTAAAATATATTTAATCAGCACCCGCCGACAACATATTGCCACTTGACAAATAGTTGCGGAATGAGACTGGGATGGGCGTTGATTGGTAATGAGAAAAAAACAGTGACATTGTATTGCGCCAGATGTGCATGGCGGCCTGTGAGCGGCGAGCGGGCCGCCGCGGTCGCCGCTCACAGGCCGCCGCTCACGCTGCACAGAATTCCTGTAAAAGCTTTTATTAGAAACAGGCGTGCTTTCGTAAAAGTTACTAATACGGTTCACACGAATCAATTACATTTCAGTCCTGCAGTTTACAAAGTTTATATATTAACCTACATCAATGTTTAGTAAATTACGAGCTGTTTCCAATTGTGAAAGTATAAGAAAAGATTGATGATAAAAGTGTAGTGCGATAGACTCGTATCTAAATTAAAACTAAGCTGCGTGCTCTATTGAATAAGTATGAAGTTATTTTTGTACGGCGATCATGTTCCGTGACATTTTTTAAGCGAATTGAAAAAGAGGACGTTTTTTTTCGCCTGTATTTCTTCATTTGTCTATATCCACCGATTCTGAACCGATTAGTTTTGCGTTTTGAAGTAAATAAGAAATATTTTCGTGTTACATTAACTTTGATAACATTGAAGTAGATGTTTTTGTAGGGAAAAGTGTTCAACTATCAGTTTCATGAGTAGGTGTTGTATATACCTACATATAGGAAGTTTAAACAAGTATTACAAAAAAATACTCGTTATGGTATGGTATGGTATGGTATGGTGTGGTATGATATGGCAGGCGACGGGCAGGCGTGCTGGGCGGCGTGTTCAGAAGGATAATAAATTCGTGCGTTAGGAGCGCTGCCTGCCCGCTGCTGATTCACGCGCCAGTTTTAACGTTATTGATAAAGACTGACATCTGACAAACATTCGGTTTGAAAAACCAAAGTTATTTCTGGACGTGACGACGTCTTCGAACCCAAGATTTCAATACTCATTTATTATTCAGCTCTATTAATTGCGCGGTAATGTATTCCTAATTGATCTCTGTGTGTAAAATATTTAGTCAGGGTGCGCAACTGCGCGCGCGGATTATCTATGTGGCGCGTGGGCCGAGGTCGTGCGTTACAGGAATGCCCGCACTTCCTACAACTTGTCCCGTGTCAGCGCGGCCGCCTGGCCGCTTACAAACTGTGCCACAGTGCCACTACGAACGGAACAAATAGGACGTAGTGTAAACAAATTTAATTGCGCCCTTTCATCTTTGCTGTGTCGTTATCCTATATTGCTCAGTAATTATCTTATATACAATGAGCCTATAATTTCTGAGTGACGTTTGGGAGAATCTGTTGACCTACTTAAGAAACTAAGGCCGGAAATCTTTTATTGAATCTATTTGTTACTAGCTTTTATCCGCGACTTCTTTCGCGTGGCCGGGACATATTTAAAAAGTAGCCTCCATCCCATACAGTACCGATTGTGGTCACCCATCCTAGTAGGGACCACGGGGGGGAAAGGATTGCTAGCAATGGAGTTTGACAGACCCATTGCTAGCAATATGCTATTAGGTCGACCTCCACGTGATTCCTCCTGGAAACCATCGTGAACAATTCTTGTTGGATTCGTCATGATGGGCCAACTGTCCTGTTTCATCCTCACCCATGATCCTTCATTGGTGTCCCACCGGTGTACGAGTATACCGATAGCGCCGGTGGGGTTATCATTCCATTATTATCCATTAAAAAAAGTAGGAACCACGGTCGAGGTTGCTTTACTTGCAGTAGCGCTACGACCTCTAAGCAATTACTCACTCCTCACTGTATTATATACTTAAATAATAATTACGTACCTAATATCTTTTTAAATTTTGAACCAAATCAATTGATCCGTTATTTTATAACATTTTATACGTAATTCTTTAGATTGATATTACTTTTTTTGTTTATAAACTGATTGAAATAAAACAAACACTAAATGTTAAATGAACGTGCCCGATATCCAATTACACGGAGCAAATATAAAAAGAGTGCATAAATTTAAATACCTAGGGCACTATGTTACTGATGACCTTAAAGATCAAACTGATGTCGAAAGGGAGCGTAGGGCATTGGCTGTTAGATGTAACATGTTGGCTCGCAGGTTTGCCCGTTGTAGTGAAGAAGTAAAAATCACTCTCTTCAAAGCATACTGTCAAACATTCTACACGAGCAGTCTGTGGGTTAACTGCACACAGGCCTCACTCAGTGCCCTACGAATCCAGTACAATAATAGTTTTAGAGTGCTGTTGGGGCTACCTCGCTTTTGTAGCGCTTCTAGCATGTTTGCTCAATCTCGTGTAGATGAGTACTACGCTGTAAGGAGAAAGAGAACCGCATCATTGCTAAACAGGGTTAGGACAAGCACCAACAGCATTCTAAAAGTAATAGGCGAGAAATATAACTCGCCTATAATTGGGCATTTCATTCAGATGCTGATCTAGTCGGCTGGGTCACATCTGGGTGAACTGCTTAATTAAATTAATTTGTTTTTCTTTTTTTTTACTAACATAGTTTGTAAGAAAATTGTTACTAACAAAATTGGACCGCATTGTAGTCTGGATAATAAAGTATTATTATTATTATTATTAAATGGAGTAAATGTTAGTGAAAATCGCATTGAAATCGGTTAAGTCGTTTCTGAGATTACAAACAGACAAAAATTCTAAAAAATCATTGTTTTACGATCTATTGCGTTCATAAAGTTAATAGTTTTTTTATATATCTTCCATGTAAAGACAGCGACCAGATACGATTTTATTATATGTATTGATTGTGGTAGTTTAGTAGACAGACAGTGCTTGATAAATGAATTGAACAAAACTGTATAATTTTAATTCGACACGGGTTTGATATTTTTTTTTTTTTACAACACAGGGGGCAAACGAGCATGCGGCTCACCTGATGGTAAGTGACTACCGCCGCCCATGGTCACCCACAACACCTACGGCATTGCAGGTGTGCTGCCGGCCTTTTAAAAAGGAATATGCTCTTTTCTTGAAGGTTATGTTGTCGTATCGGTTCGGAAATACTGCTGCTGGAAGTTGATTCCAAAGAGTGGTTGTGCGTGGAAGAAAGTGTCTTGAAAAACGCACGGTGGAAGACCGCCACTCGTCCAGATGGTTGGGATGAAATTTTAGTTTATGGCGGGTTGTACGATGGTGAAAATCTGCAGCAGGTATCAATCCGAACAATTCTTCAGAGCACTCCCCATGATAAATTCGGTAGAAGATGCACAGAGATGCAACATCTCTACGCAGTTTCAGTGGGTCGAGCCGGACAGTAAGACGCCGATCGTCAACAATTCGAGCTGCCCGACTTTGAATGCGGTCTAACGGAAGGAGTTGGTACTGTGGCGCTCCTGCCCACAGGTGAGAACGGTATTCCATGTGTGGCCTCACTTGAGCTTTATACAGTTTCAGGCGGTTTTCTGGCGTGAAATACCGTCTCACCCTATTGAGCACCCCCAACTTTTTGGAAGCTATCTTAGCTTTTTCCTCCAGATGACCGCAAAACTGGACGTCGCTAGATATATCGACGCCAAGAATCCCCAGACTCGACTTATTATCAAGGGAAGTGCCCTGAAAGTGAGGTGATACGACAAACGGTGTCTTTTTTGCGGTGAACGCGCAGACTTGTGTCTTCTTAGGGTTAAAGTGAACAAGATTGCGTTCACCCCAGATCGAAACTTTATCGAGTGAAGTTTCGATTTCAGACACAAGTCTGTTCCGGAGCTCATCGGTATGTGCCCGCGAGATCTTTGCATGACCGGTGTATAATGCATCTCCTGTACTGTCGTCCGCATAACAATGAATATCACTGATCTGTAACATATCATTGATATGCAGAAGAAACAGTGTCGGAGATTGTACACAGCCTTGCGGGACACCAGCATTCACAGGTTTTAAGTCAGAGCATGCTCCGTCGACTACGACCTTAATGCTACGTTCCTTAAGAAAGCTGGCGACCCAACTGCACAATCTCGCAGGCAACCCAAACGAAGGTAGTTTTGAGATTAGTGCCCTATGCCACATGATATGGCAGAGAGTACTCTTGTTCTTATGATAAAAAAGCTGACTATTGACGCAATCGATCGACTACTATTGAATCGATATTACAAGTTTGTTAATATATTTAAAGTCATTGTGAGTTAATTATATGTTATGAAATATATCGTGCGATGTTATCGGATGGTGTGATGATAATTTTAAACGACTTTTTTTTTAAACGATTTTAAAAAGTAAGTTCTTAATTTTATGTGCCTTATCTTATTTATCTGATTAGAATTTGTCAGTTTATTTTGCAATCGATAGCGATTACCTCCCTAGTCGGTTTCATGTTAATTTATTAATGATATAAGAAGCAACTTTTAAACCATAATGTCCAATCTTTATTGAGCATTCCATATTGCCCCCAACGGGCGTGTCGTATGGTGGCAGCGCACGGTCGCCGCGTGGTATGTGTGTCATACAGCACGCTGATGACACGTGCTATTTCTGGCGCCCCCTACGCTGACCGGCAGCCATTCACAAGGCGGCAAATTACTTTCTAATAATAACAAAATGCCATATTGTTTCTGATTATGTTTGAGTCTTGACTTATACTATACACCATATGCTAACATTTAAAGTAAAGTAGTTTATCGTTTCGGCTCATTGTATCTATTGCTTACTCGTTGCTCAACACAGACGTCTCCCGTAATGATTTCACCATATGTACTT